CGTCCCAAGGAGCCTTGAATGTTCACTTCAGCACTCTCCTGCTAATGCCATTGCCAAGCTGGTTTCAGCTGCCCTTGTGGCTGGTTAGGACCAGGGGACAGATCTGGCCAATGTACCAGAGCTGAGTGGTATGTACCATCTCCTGCTGAAGCATGGAGTGCCTGCTGGCATTACCACCATCCTCTTCTCATTCTGTAGTGACTTCAATGCCACCTACATGGTTCAGAAGAACAGCCATATACAGGCCACGGTCACCATCTCAAGCACCACAAAAAGCAGAGATGGAGGCCAGGCCAGCAATACACCTCTTCCTGTTACAGCCCTTTGTTGTTGCCTAAGATTATTCCCCTCCTGTGAGCAACCATGTTCCCAAACCTTTTAACCCACCTGTCCCCAAGGTGCCTAAGTGATATATGCAAGATGAAAGGAGGGATTCTCAGAAGGTGCCCTGAGCAAGGATGGTCAAAAGCATACGTGGGTGGGGTGTGTGTGTGTGCGGGAGGTGGTCCAAATTTAAAGATCCTTACTAGAGCTCTGGAGGTCACAGGAAGAAGTATCACACAGTGGCTGAGCCCATAGATTGAAGAACCAAGTTGAACTAATCTCAAATCCCAGCCATGCTGCTGACTCCATGTTTTTTTTCAGAGCCTTATTCTCCCACCTATAAAATGGGAACAATAGCTAAAGCCCCCAGTGAAAAGAGATGATGCTGTGTGGTCTAGCTCTGACTCATAGGAGCAGTCTCACAGTGTCTATACCAGGCAGATATCACTGTTAAGATCACCTAGAGCAACAGTCTTCATGGGAAAGAGGCGTAGGTGCAGCCTGGACCGTCCCCTCCCAAGCAGCCTGAGGAAGCTTCCCCAGACAGGACAGTGGACATAGCCCCCACTCTGCAAACCTCAGACCTGGCCCAATTCACATCCAAAGAGGAATCAGGGTCAGCTGGGCAAAATGCAACCTACAGAACCCAAGAGCATTTATCTGAAAGTCCAAAGTGTTTTAGAAGAAGAGCCGTGGCTGGGGTGATTTTGGAAGCTGTCCATCAGGCCAGCTTCTCATCAGCACAGGTGGTCTTGGTACCCAGTTACAATGGGAAGCAAAGTGGATGGGGGAAGACTGGCAGATAACGGCTGGGGGACTAGACATCACCTTGGCTGTCCTGCAACAGGGACAGGGCTACCATAGGAATAACCACCGGGAAATACACAGCCCTAGTGAGGTAAGAAAGGAAGAAAACAACTGGACACCCAACCTCGTCACATTGTCTCCCATCCCTAAACTACAGTGGGAAGGTGCCAGTGTTTGCTGTGTGCTGGCTGCAGTGCCAAGTGTTTTACCCAGATTATCTCACTGATGGTCCACTGCAGTCTGATGGGAGATCTTGCTAATTCCATTTGATAGAAAATGGAAGACACCAGAAGCTGTGTGACAACCTAAAGTCACGTAACTGACAAGCAGGGTAGACAGCATTTATACCCAAGTACTCTAATCGCCATGCAGTGGTTTTTCTAAGCAAATAAAGAGCCTGAGGTTCAGAAAGGGCAGTGACTTAGCTGAGGCCACACAGCCTCATCTATGATGTAGATCAAGCCTCCTAATCCCTGGTTCTCTGATTTGTCTACTCTACCGCAACTAATTTCTGGGTGTACACACAAACCTTCCACTCAGGAGCCTGTTTCTGCTTACGTCCGACCCAGAGTCTAGGCTAGAGAGAGCAGGATAATCAGGGCCCCGGAGTCTAAAGCTAGAGAGAGTGGGATAATCAGGACCCTGCTGAAAGCCTGGCTGTGTCAGCTGCAGACCCGAGGCTCACCATCTCATTCTGTTTTTCTTTGTAAAAAAAAAACAAAAAAAAAAAAACAAAAAACAAACAAACAAAAAAAAACTTGTGATCGGCCCTACTCCATCAGATGGAACACTGACATTACTCCAAGGTGCCAGCCTGTGGGGCAGGAGGAACCCAAACTGGCATGTTTGCCTGAGAGCATCGGGTTACAGAGACCCTGATCAGTTGGCATCATCTGTTCCCTGGGACCAAGTGTGGGGTTCTGAGCTCTCTCTGTGGGGTCCCAGCTGAGCTCAAACAATAGTTCCTGATCTCCCTTCTCAGTGGCTGATGAAATGGGCCAGAAGAGCAGCTCTCTGGAAAGGGGGGGGGGGGGGGGGCTGCTAAAGTGTGCAGTCCAGCCTCAGGCCCTGGCTTTTCCCAGGGAATGGGGACTGACAGGCAACCAGAGACAGACACCTGCACTGGCTGTGTGACATTCCTAGCAGGGACGGTCACAACATTACCCTCTCTCTGCTCCCAAACTTCCCCCAAACACCAGTGTGTGGTATTGGTCCACACAAGCTGAATGACTACCCCTGGGTGTGAGCCCACTGGGTTCTAGTACCAGAGGCCAGCAAGAGGAGGCCAAACAGCTTGGAGAAGAACCTCTTGCTGGACTAGAGGCAGCGTCCAGCATGGCTGTCCAGATCACCAAAAGGCTTCCCTGGATTTAAGTCACAAGGCCCCTCCATCTCCAGAGCTATTTACAGACAGGGAAGCAGGGTCACAGGGGAAGGGTCTCATCCAAGGCCTCACTGATAAACTGGCTGGCTGGATTTCAAATCTGCTCTTTTCCCTGTACCAGCCCCTCCCACAACCCAACCCCCCCAATCCCTTGACTCCAAACCCAAACAGCCCTGAGCCCAGAGCACTGAAACGTCATTTAGTTAAGTAGGGAGCTATTTCCAAGCTGGTGTGGAAGTTATTAAAAGGTTGGGGTTCTTTCTGGATTCATACCAAGATGTCCTACAAGCACGCCCAGAGGTCCACTTCTACAACATTCCCTGGAGCACTCGTGATTGATTGGCATTTTGGATTTGGGGTTAGGAAAGACAAAGAAATGGGCCCAGGCTTGGATTATTGCTAAGTCGGAGACTGGGGATTTACCTGGAGTCAGAGACTGGGCATTTAGCAGGAGCAGAGACATGAGCAGCCCTAGAGGGTGGAGAGCCTGTGCTCTCTTCAGTGTGGGGGTTGGGGTGAGTAGGGAGTAGAGAGGGAAGACAGCACCCCAAATCCGCAGGCCTTAGAGTGGGGGACAGGCTAATACCCGGGTTCCAAGGGAGAGGGTATCCTACCAGGCTTCCAGCACACACACACACACACACAGTCACTAAAATAAAACAAACCAAACACTTCTTTTGTTTTCTGGCTCCTGGAATGCCTTAAAGACAGATCCAGAGACAAGGGCTTCCCCACCCTTTCCTTTGCCTCTTTGCCTCAGCCTTGTGATTCCACAGAAGCCAGGATGAAGTCTGTCAGCTCTGCCATTCCACACAGAACCCAGGCTGAAGGCTGATCTCACTGACAGAAACTTTGTCCTGCACCGAAGCACTGGCTACATCTAATAAACACACACGGCTTTTACCCATGCTGAAGGCAGGACCCCATCTGTCTCTTGAGGACTGAGGGATCACCTCATTTCCATCACCTTGCAGGGGTTTGTGGGGCAGCTGGGATGGTGAGCACGAATTCCTAGCAAGGACACGTGAAAACTTCCAGTCACTCTGAAGCCATGGTCTCTGGTGAGCTCATCGGTACTCTCTCGGGGTAGAGAGAAGAGAGACAGACGAGTTTAGAGAGAAAGATGAGGCATCAGCCCCCCAGAGTCCCCTCGATATGAACAGCCCTTCACACAACCAAGATGACACTTTCTACAGACTCCGGAAGTCAGCATGTCCCTTCCCACAGGGACGATACAGGAATCTAAGAGTATGGGAAGGAAGACAAGTTTTCACCAATACTTGGGAGGTGATTAGACAGATGTGTGTGGAACCCAGGAGATGAGGTGCTCTCCGTAATGGCTGGGGACTGTGACCCTTCTGATGGAACTACAGAAATTCCTAAGGAACCCCACCACTCACCCAATGTACCTGTGCCCAGAAAGAGGATGAGTCCTGCCCACCACGCCCAGAGATCTGCCAGGACCAGGACAAAGGGAGCCACTTTTACAAAAAGGGTTGGGTTTCAGTAACTTCAAGTAAATCCCAACCAATGTTCTATCCCATTGTTTCCATGCCAGCTCGCTGTCCATGTAAAGTTTCTTTTGTTTTTGTTTTTCTGGGTGTAAACTGTTCACTCATCCTTGCCAGCAGAACATGAAAAATCATCTCATCACACTGATCCATCTGGTCGTCGCAGAGGCACCCCACCCTCCGCCCGATTCGCTGGGGCAAGGTGGGGCGCTCCTCCAGACAGACCCCGCGCGTTGCAGTGGTGCATGCATCTGCCGAGCTGCGGTCTGTAAAGATCCTGGGCTGGTCTGGGAAGCCGATCGGGCCAAGGAAGTGCTCCCCCTGGCGAGGCAACTATCCCAGCGTAAGCAGGACGCTGATCCCGCGCGCACCCACCACGGCCAGCCACGCTGGGAACCCGCGGCCACCACACCCCACATCTGGCCACTGGACCCGCCCGGCAGCCTCCTAGGTCTCCGCATCCACAGAGCTGCACACCTTCCCTCTCAGGGAATGATAGCCCGGGTGCGGAAGCAAATTCAGGCGCGCTCTCCTGGCCGGCCACCAGGGTCCCAAGAAGGCGACGTGCGCTCGGTGCCCCAGCACAGCCGGCGATCCGCCGCGCCCAAGCCCTGTTCCAGGTCTCCAATGGAGACCTGTCCGCGCTCCGGGTCACCTGGAAGCACCCCTTCCCTCCCGGCACATCACCGGCCGACACTCCGGACCTGAGAGTCCCACCTGCCGCCCTTTTGTCGCCTGAGCCCCAGGGATCTACAGGCGCAGAATGGCTGCACCTGACCCGGGCGAAGTCCGCGACCCGGGGCGTGCTCGGGGTCACACGAGGAGGCGCAGTCCCCTCCTCCAGGGGAGTCAAAGCAGAACTTAGTGGCCGCTTCCCCGAGCGTCCTGAAACCCACACTGGTCCGAGATCTCCCCTGGAACGCGCGGGGTCCCTGCGCCAGTACGCACAGAGGGGTACAGTGGTCCAGTCCTACCTGGCAGAGGCCCGGCCACGGGGGAAAGTTTCCCCGGGCGCAGAGTGCGCTCGCAACTTGCGGGGCGCCGGCAATCCTGCACGGTGGCACTGGGCTAGGCGACGAGGAGCGGCGACGCCCGCTGGGGGCCCGGGGCCGAGAGGCCTGGCGCTGCTGGGCTTCGGAATAGCTCGGAGCTGTGTCCGCCTGCAGCCTGCAGCCCCTGAGACGCCGGCGGCAGCTGCAGCCGCTCGCCCGCCACCGCCGCCGGCCACACCTCCCGCCACCCTCCGGCCCGCCCTCCCGCTCCCTCCGCCCTAGCCTCCGCCCCTCGGTCTCCTGTCGCCACTACTGCCGCCGCGGTGCTGACGCGTCTGTAGGCTAACCTGGTCCTTGCCTCCCCACTGTGTCTCTCTCACCCGGTCCTAGCGCGTGGTCTCTAGAGTCGAGCTTTCCCCCATGGCCCCTGTACCCCTAAGCCTTCTCCCCATGCTCGCTCGTTGTTGGAATTTAGGAGATTGCTGGAGGAGGGCGAGGGTGGCACCCCAGACTAGGACATTTATTCCTGGGGAGCTTTCTCGGTGTCACCAGCACCCTTGGGTGTGACTGCACGGCTGAGATGTGGGATCCTCCACTGAGACGTTGCCCCTTGGTGTTCCACTCACTGCCAGGGAAGTCTCTGATGGGAACCTGGGCGGCAGGCACTGTTAAGGCTCCTTGCTGGTGACTGCCTCTGGCCTGGTGAACCTTCCCAACTCCATCAGCTGTAAACCACGGCACTGCTAAGGACCAGACCTGAGGCTCTCATCCCACCCACTTCCCCACCCTGCACAGGGCACAGCTAACCTACGCCACACGGGGATGGGGGGGGGGGGGGACGACATACAAAATTCACGAGCAGGCATATAAGAATCACAACCTAACAGAAACTGCCATGAGAGGACTCAGATTGCAACTCCTGTTGCCTCACTGGCAGCAACTATCAGTGTCCAGCTTTGACACTTCCACTGGAACAGTCTTGTGTGGACACACACACACACACACACACACACACACACACACACACACACGAGTTAAACTACACTCTGAAAGAGACCTCAGACTTCTTGGCCCACTGATCTCACTCAGGACAGACACAGACAGCCTTGGATGTGAAAGCTAGTGCAGTCAGAATACAAGACTGAGTTTTGAAGAGCAAACAAAAAGCCTTGGCCTATCCTTGCCCACAGTCCAAGAAGTAAAATGTCTAAGGTCTCTCAGGGCTAGAACCACTTCACAGAGTCGAGAGAGAGGCCAAGGCGGGTTTGCTAAAGGGGCATGCAGCTTGAGAACAGGTCTGGATTCTGCTCTTCAGTGGGCCTGCACAGGTATGGAATTCTGTCACTATATAGACACCTCTCCAGCTTCCCACACAGGGTCAAGGGGAGGCCGACCCCTCTAGCTGAGAACCCCTGCAGGCCCTGAACTCAAGGATGCTTCTGTAAAGGATTGCTGGCGTGGGCCTCCTGGGACCACAGAGAGAGGCACCACAGAAACTCTGTGAGAATCAAGCCTTGAGTGAGGGCCTGGGCTTGACCAGAGTGGGAGGCTTTGGATGATTTAGCTCTGGTAAGAGCTGGCAGAATGGCGTGAGGAAGACGGCACTGGTTGGGGACCAGTAAGATGGCTCACTGGCTAAAGGTGTGTGCCACCAGGACCGAGAACCTGAGTTGCACCCCAGAACCAACTTAGTAGATGAAGACAGCACAGGCTGGCTGCACAACTCACACCCAAGGGGGACAGTGATCCCAGCTCTAGGCCTCAGTCTCCTGCCTCCTGCAGAACGTGGACCTGGCCGGGCCCCAGGGTGAAGGCTGCCTGCTTAATGGCTTTCTTGAAATCAGCACTTATTTTATATTTTGTTTTACTTAAACGAGTTTGTTTTTAAACAGTGATATGTTATACCACAGCCATAAATGGAAAAGCAGCGTCGGGTTGCTATAAATAGAGGGCCATCATAAAACAAATACAGTGTGAAATAAAACGGTGTCATTAAACTGCAACAATGGATCTTCAGTCACAATAAAAGAGAGTGTAACAAGATCCCACTGGCTCTTTTTCCTGAGAAGGGCTGATCACTCCCAGGCTTATTCCCTCCTGAAGATCAGCGAGGGGCAGAAAGAACCCAAAGCAACCGACTTGGGATGCCCTCACATCAGGAAATGTGATACCTATATAGCTGAGGCAGAAAAATACTCTTTTCTCCCCCCAAATAGGGAACCCTGAAAGTTTAGTCTCAGGAGACGTAAAGCCACACTCCGTTGCTGTGAGAGCTAGTCCCCTGCTCACAAAGTGATCTCCATCTTAATGCTTCTGTGTGTAAAGTTCAACAAACAACCTGAGGAATCCCTTTAACTATTTTATCAAGAGAACAAGAAAATTCCCAGAACTGTGGGAGTTTATCCGGAGTTTCCCGGTAGGCAAAGAAATTTTCCAAGGAGATAGAATGGGGAGGAGAGACAGGCCAGGAGTGAGGTGGAAGGGATAGCCAGCCTTGACCTAGTGGAGCTCAGGTTAGCTTAGACCCAGGAGCAGTCTGGCTCAGAAGGTTCTAGATTCTTCATTGCCCACTCCAAAGAAACCTTGTGGAGAATTCACTGTAGTCAGGCTGTTTCATTGTCTAGATGGGGATGTTGAGAAAGCATGACAGGCTGGACAGATGGGGAGACCGGTGATGACCTGAGCCTCCTGACTCCTAGGCCAGGACCTCTTAACTCCCTGTTTTAGGGAAGGGCGTGATAGTTAATATTGTCAATTTTATAGACTCTAGAATCATCTAGGTCTTAGGTTCTAGGAGATGAATCTCTGGTTATGTCTATGAGGGAGCTTCTAAATTGGGTTCATTGAAGTGGGAAGATCTGTCTTAACTGTGGGCAGCTTCATCCTATGGGCTGGGATTCTTATTATTATTCAGAATAAGAAGAAAGAGATCTGAGCACCGACATTCATCTCTCTCTGCTTCCTGATGGTAGATGAACATGACCAGAGGCCACACCTTCCCCACCATGTCTTCTGTGATGGACTGTCCCTTCAAACTATGAACCCTGTTTCCTCAAGCTGCTGCTGTCATGGCAACAGGGGAGTAATACAGGAAATGTGGGAGACATGGATTTTGAAAATACTCACCTCTCTCCCAAGGAGTTCTTCAAGGTTCTTTTCTCTGACACTCACAATAAGAAAAAAACCAAAATGTCCCATTGGCCTAAAAGTCTCAAGTCTGTCAGAATCAGCTTGGGCTAGACAACTCAGGTGCTGGGGCTCAGGTCCTGGACATGGTACAGCTGGAGCAAACATCTGCAGTGACATCCTACACTAAGAGCCCTGAACCAGCAGCCAGCAGCTTGCAGCCTGGAGCTCTGCCCTCACCAGGCCTCAGTGCTCCCAACTGGCAGATGACGCCCCAGATATGAGCATGGGTTCTGAGTGGGCTGTCAGGCCCTGCTCCAGTACCCCGGGAATCATGAAAAAGGGCAGAAATGCCACCTCCTTCTTCCAGTTCAACTAGGTCCCTTAGTCATTGGCTCTGTGCCATGGTAATCCACTTCAGCTGGAAAAGAGCATGTGTCCTTTTACAAAGAAAGGGTTTGAAAGCATAGGAAAAAATGGCCAGTGACTCCAGCTTTGTTACATTAGGGCCACGAGACAGCAAACTTCTTACTCGGGAGTGCTGTCTTGGGTCTCCAGCACCCTCAGTGGAGGCTGCCCTCAGACATTTGCTTAGAGAATCCCAACTGTGCTGCCTGGAAGATGTCACTTAAAGGCTCTGATCTCTCTCTCTCTCTCTCTCTCTCTCTCTCTCTCTCTCTCTCTCTCTCTCTCTCTCTCTCTCTCTCTTTCTTCTCTCCTTGTGTGTGTGGGGCAGGGCGCACACACCCCAGCACACTCATGGCTGTCTCAGGACTACTTTGTGTGCTCAGTTCTCTCCTACCTTTACATGGTTCCAAGGATCAAACTCAAGCTGTCAGGCTTCCTTCACTAACATTTTACTCCTACCGGCCCAAACCACCCGATCTTCCCAAAGACACCGTGGTGACCACCCTCCTGGCACTGACGATGGGAGGCTCTCAGGGAAATCTTTGTCACATGGTACACACTAGGTAAAGCTAAGCCTGGAGGACACCTGACAGCGTGGGTTGACCTCACCCCCACCCCCAGGTGTTTGACCTTCCAATCTAATCTAGCTTTCCCAAGACAGTCTGCACTTGAAAATTTTAATCATTGCCTCCTTTTCTCCTCCAAATTGTCTCCTTTTATGTGTCATTTGCAGTCACTTCCCAAAACATTGGCAGTTCATTAAATGTACACCCAAGAGTGATTGCATTTGTTTATCTTTCCAAAGCCTCTCACAAAAAATGAATCCCTGGGTCCCAAGAACATGCTCTGAGTTTGGAGGGTTGTACTATTGTGTTTTCAGGTCCTGGAGCAATTGTCAACCCTAGGCTTTCTCCTCTTCTCCCGATGCACTGCTCCGGACAGCCCAGCCAAGTCTTGGAGACTTTAGCACAAGTCCCCCAGGGCCCACTGCCTCCTCTACCCCAGGAATACTGCTGAAGAGAAGGTATATTTGGATGCACTTGTGCACTCACTCATGTGCGCGCGCGCACGCACACACACTCACACACACACACACACACAGAGATGCTGCAGGAGAGGGGCAGGGGTCTGGAGCCTCTGCTGGGAAGGGGCAGCATCCAGTTTCTTCTTGTACTTTGTGGCTAAACTTTCTAGAAAGCAAGCCTGAGAACGGCGTGGAGAATTCCTACCCAGGATTGCCTGCTGCACTTCTGCCCACCTCCACTGTCTCTTTTAACTTTGAGCAAACAATGTGATATCATGAATAGCTTCCTTCTGCCCATGCTCGGTGGGAAAATTGTACATATTCAGGTTCAAAACCTTCATTCATGAGCTGTGTGCCTTCAGTCATGCTGTTTTGCCTCTCTGTTCTCTTCATTCCTTGTCTTTTAACATGAGGAGTGCCTGTGGTGTTCCAGACACTGGTAAGATATTTAGCTGTCTTCCTGCTCACTTAAACCCCCTCACAGTCCGTGGGGCAGGGGCAGTCAGGAAGTCCATTGTTTCAAAGGGAAACACATGGAGACCTACCTAGAGTTCCCCAGCAAATCAAGCATAGGGCTCCAACTCTCCCTTTAATTACATCAAGATCAGCCAGGGACTAGTTTGTGCATTCTTCTGAGCCAACGAGGGCTGC